AAGCCATATTCAACAACTCAAACAGTAAACGACCAGTCAGAATAGAAAGATGGAGTATGTACTTGTAAGGGTTCAACTTCACAGTTGAACACAGACCATGGAAGGACCACCCAGCAAATTACATGTCAAGACACCCATTACGTATACCAGAGAATACGACTGACTACAAGGAGCAGAAGCAGAAGGAGGAAGTTGGGAATTCCATTATTAAAAGGTACGTACCAGAATCACTCTCGGTCGAAGAAGTCAGAGAAGTTACCGTGAATCGCTGTCATGTTGGAAGTTATGGAAATTGTGCAGAACGGTAAGGGAGAATCAAGATAGAAGTCAGAAGATCTAAGACCGTATAAGCGGGTTCGGTCCGAACTGTCCGTTTCCAATCGAATTCTTAGAGGGTCACGAACTGTTGCACCCAAGGCTTTACAGCGCAGAGTAGTCAGGATCAGCCATGAGGGCCACTAAGGCATCATGAAAACGAAACAGCTACTCCGTTCAGCTGTGTGGTTCCCCGGTATGGATTGTGTAACTGAAGACATTGTGCGTAGCTGTCTGCCTTGCCAAGCTGCGACTCAACAGAAGTCTAAGGAGCCTCTTCAGATGACTGAGTTGCCAGAAAGACCGTGGCAGAAGATTTCTCTTGATTGCAGTGGTCCCTACCCCTCTGGGGAATACTGTCTGATAGTGGTAGATGATTATTTACGATACCCTGTGGAAGAACTCTTAAGCACCACTTCAGCCGTAGCTGTGATTCCCAGACTTGATAAGATCTTCTTGATGTTCGGAATACCAGAAGAATTCAAGTCAGACAATGGTCCATCCTTCCAGAGCAGAGAGTTTGTAGAGTATGCAAGAACGTGAGGATTTAGACATCGGAAGATCACACCGTTACATTCAGAAGCAAACGGTGAGGCGGAAAGATTTGTGAAGACCCTGCAGAAGTTCATCACCACCACAACAGTGGAAGGTAACCGTTAGAGGACTTCGTTACTTGATTTTCTACGAGTATATCGGTCAAAGCCACACACCGTGACTGGTAGAAGTCCATATTTTCAACTCTTTAGTGGAAGGGAAATGCGCTGCAAATTTCCTCATTTCAACCTTAGCAGTGAAGAAAACCCTGAGGTGCGACAGAAAGAGGCTTTGGCAAAGCAAAAAATAAAGGTGTATGCTGATAAGAAGGCTAATACAAAGCCTTCACCCATCCGAGAAGGTGATACGGTGCTGCTGCGCCAGGAGAAGAAAAACTAGCTCAGTACACCATTTGAGGGCATTCCGTACACAGTGTTTCAGAAGAAAGGAAGCATGGTAACAGCTGAAAGAAGAATGACCACCAGGAACACTAAGGATTTCAAGAGTTGCCCAGCTCCAACAAAAGAAACAACACAAGCTACACCGGTGGAAAAGGCCGATGATGAAATTGGTGATACGAAGCCCCCACCGACAGTAGATGTAGCTGAACAAACGGCAGAGGAACCACAATCAACAAGTGCTTTGCCCGAAACGGTTCCCTCACCTCATCCCCCAAGTGCTGAAGAACCGAGATACCCGGGAAGGAATAGACACAAACCTGCACGATTTAAGGACTATGTGTGTGGTTAGAGACACTAAGTGTGCTCTCCTCCGGGCTGCAATACCGATGTTGCAAAAAGCGAGCAACATTGTGCGGTCTTCCTCGGACTAAACTTCACACGTGCAGGTCTATCGTGAAATTACAATGTCGACTATCCTATTCGAAGGACTGGAAAACACGGTGAAATAACTCTGACGTTGAAACGGAAACTATTCGTTCAATATCTAACGATATTTATGGAGGTCGAAGCAAACCCAGGACCCGACCAACTATTAAATGGAATTGTTTCCCGCTCTGCTGAAGATCAAGTTACTGGAATTAAATTACTCGGCATAAACAACAATGGAATAATGACTTATTGCAGCAGTGAACTTCGCGCTCTTTGTTCTAGCCTTGGCGTTCCTCGCTACGTTTACCTTACTATTAAGGATTGTGGAATTCTTAAGACCCGCCGTACCAGAGCGGGAAAACGTGTAGAGCGAAGAAGTACAAAATACCGACATTATGTAATGCTCTTTACCATTCATGCTGTCCTGCTTCGCTTCAAGTTAATTATTCAAGATCAAGCGGCGACAGACCTAATTGTATTCAGATACAAACAATTTCTGAACAGAACAGCGCCCAGGATATGAGATCCTTGAAGGGTTTCGCTCACAGGTTCAATGCTGAAGCTGATACTGTCACCTCCGCTTGTTGTTTTCAAAGTCACCCATGCATCGCGCGTGAATTCAAACGAATTGAGCCAAACAGCAACGCGTTCAATGTTCCAAAAATAATGCTGACCAACGTTATGTCTCTAACACCAAAAGTCATCGAAGTTGTTGAGTTTGCTGTTCGATTGGACATCGATTTATTATGCATCACTGAGACATGGCTAAAAGAGAAAGTCGCGGACAGCGTTGTTAAGATTCCAAATTATTCAATCATTCGTCGAGATAGACAAGGTGTCCAACATGGTGGTGGTTGCCTGTACGTTAAAGACACTTCTAGCAAATTTTATGTACTCAAAGATCTCACCTGTTGCGCCGATCACGAAATCTTATGGGTCCACCTTAGACCGAAACGCCTTCCACGAGGGTTCTCTTGCATTGTTTTGGCTATTGTTTATCATCCTCCTGCTACAATCCAATTCTTCGCTTGCGCGATGCGAGAAAACCTGTTTAACCGGTACTCTACAATAGACGAGTACAAATACCGCGTGATATTTGTACTCGTCTAGGGCGTTATTTGTACTCGTCTAGGTGTAGTTGGATAATAAGAGCTGTTATGTATTTAATTCAATAACACAAATCATCTAAGATACAAAAAACGACGTGGGCACTCGGCCTTACATTTGTTCAAAACGAACAAAATTGACTTTTATAACCTGAAAATCAAATGAAAAAGTACTCCTTGAGTGCCTCCGTCCGTAATTCAAATAACAAATAACTGGTCAGCAGATTACAATAACTTGATCGTTTGCTTGGTTGAAATTGAACTGCACAAATGAAAAACTTGTGTTTAACAAAACGTTTTACGCGACAAAAATTGCCATGATTGCGATATATGAATTTAGTGTACTTGCTCAAGTGAGCGGCTTGGCAAAGATGTTATTCAAAATGTAATGTCCAAGTAAATGGCCTTAACTCGGTAAAAAAAAGTGAGCATGAAAATGTTGTCATCAGAGATGTCAGTCAGTCTGTCAGTCAGATTCGTCACTTTCTGAACGAGTAAAAGTGAATTTTTTAGCCCCACTGACATCCCGGCCAATTTCAAACTGAAGAAACAGCATATCATTTTCAACGTATCCCCTTGAAAAAAGCGCCTCGTGAGATATAAATTTATAAAAACCGTGCGCTACATTTTCTTCTCTCTTCATTGGTCTTTCATAACTTTTTCGTGAGTTGGTACCGCTACTTATCGCAGAATCGTTCTTTTGTTGTTCTGGATCTTCTTGTTGATCAATCAATGTAAACCTTACTCTTCTCTTGACTTGAAAGGCCAGGGAAATATGGCGTCATATTCCCCCTTCGTTACAATAACGGACACCGATAAGTGAGAGTTCACAGCAGTTCCACCACCATTAGGGAGAATTCTCAATTTTAGTCTGTAGCCATAGTTTTCGGTGTAGAATGGACTACTTTCAAATATCCTTTGCACTCCTGCCTTCGCTTGTCTCATTATGTCACTAAAATCACTAACCTTCCAAACAAACTTAAGAGGATAACGGGAAGATTCACTTTTCGCCATCACTGTGCTGAATGTTTTCGCTTCAAGCTGTTTCTGAAGTGTCTCGACTTTCTCAACCAGATTCTTTGTAGTCCTTTGTGTGTCATTCAATGTATCCTCTGTTATACGTAACTTCGCACAAGCCAAATCAAGATGGATTTTCATGAAATCTTGAAGATGAGAGTCTACTTCTCCTCGCCGAACCTACAAATAAAGAAATTCCGTTAGCCTCGTTGAGAGGGTAATGATTTTCAAATAAATTTGGGTATAAACAGGTTATTCGTACCTCTGCTAACATGACAGTGTCAAAAGGCAGCCAATAATGTGCCAACAATCGACCACCGAGTTGTTTGGGAGTTTGAATAGTATTACCTAAAAGAACATTTTCCATGTAAAAATGGATTTTGAGCTTTACTCAAAGATTTAAAAATCTTTAAGTAATGTGCCATACTTAAGCCTCCTTGAATGCTTTCTACTTTCTTTTTCTGTTGGCGGTATCTTGTAAACGGACTTTTGCACTCCTTGGAAGGGGGGGGTGCGTGCACCGCCTATCACACCCCCTCCCCTTTTGCTACGGGCCTGGAGTTGCAGCTCCATTGAAGACTTTTCATATATGTTATCTGCTCTTCTTTCAGATACGTACCTGAACACATACATGATGTGAAAGCCTCACCGCCCAGTCGAAACAAAAATAAAAACATATTGTGCACTGCCAATCACGACTGGACAGAATCGTAAACCCAGACAGTATGAAATCAAAGATGACTGTCATACCTCCATTTCGCATCCCACGTGAGCATACGGACAAGGAATTATTGAAAATGGACAATCCTCGCTGAGGTGAGTTGAAATCTGAAAAAAAAGTCGATTGCTAAATTGGAATTAAAACTTCTAATTACCTATTTATTTACTCAATTAAACGGTGACTAAGTGGACAGCTACTTCCCGTTGTACAAGAGATACAGTTTGCCAAATCATTTTTGTCGTGTCGAAGCTAACGACGTTTGCACACACATGTCAATTTCTTATTTGTCATGTTAACAGAGAAAGGGTTCCCGACCGATAATAAATCAGTCCGAGTAAGCAGTTTTCAGTCAGTCAGTTAATGGGCCTGACGTATTTACACCACCTAATAAACTAGCACAAGGAGATAAGCCGTCCTTCTCTTTCGGTTGTACCTTTGCAGTAGCCCAGAACTGCTATTTTTTCTCCCGTCTTTTTT